ATAATGACTACACCATAGGTTATCTGAATGCTCTAGAGAAGAGGATAAAGGCCATTGTGGATCACTACCTTGACGAAAAGGAAGCTGTCAAGGTGCACCTAGAACAGGACATCACATTCATGCGCTAACCCCTAGAGTCCCGTCGCTGGACAAAGGGCCATCAAAAAAGGTTTATCAAAAGAAGAAAGAGGAAGAAATTAGCATTACAACCGTCTCCACCATTCCTCAGATGATCAAAGAAGCATTGAAGGCGAAAAGGAATTTTGTCAAAATTCCTGTGAGTTATGCAAATATATTTCCTCAACTGCTAAAGGCTTTGATGTTGGTGCGGACTCTATTGTTAAAAAAGTTAGAGCCACCTTATCCACGATGGTATAGGCCCAAAGAAACTTGCAATTATCATTATGGGGTAGCAAGTCACTCCATAGAAAATTGCAAGGCCTTGAAATTTCACGTACAACAGCTTATTGACACCATGTGTCTTAGATTTTAAGTCCAATACACCAAACACCAATGAGTTCATACAAAATAAGGGCTTGCACAAGTTTTTTTATTTCGTCAATAACATATGACATTTCTACAAACTCTTATGTTTATTCTAAAGCCAATTACAGTGCCAAAAAAAAAATAAGCATAACCGAGGATAATAAAATTAATCAAGCTCCAAACACTTGTAATGCATTATTTGAGTCTGAGACAGATAAGGAACTCATTTCTCCAAAACACACAAATTACTAAAAAAAAAATTTGAAAGTTAGTCTTAGAAAAGGAGAGGATAAGAATCAAACACATAACCATAGGATTCTCATTACACAAGGGGATCCTATACAAAAGTAAACTTCAACTCAATTTGGCCAATGAAGAAAGCATAAATCTTGGTCTATGAAGGGACTTTCAATAACCATATACAGGGGAAACACCTTTCTCATTGGTCCATGGGATGGAGGCAGTGTTATCTATAAAGAATGACCCAATTACGAAGGTCAATATACGAGATTTCTTAGAATGACATTGATCCTCCCCTAACGTATATTGTAAAGAGTTTTCTCTCTCGATAAATTATGATGCATGAAGAAGTGTTAGGCCTAAAAAATGACGCTTACAAAAGCCCTCTAGGATGGAAACCCACAAGGGGCGTCTTAGGCAAAAGTTAGAGCAAAAGAAAAAAAGCAAAAGTTCCCGCTAGGATTTGTCCTAGGCAAAATTAGGGATTTCAAAAAAGAAGCAAGCAATGACTATCTAAGTTGTAAACTAAAAGAAAACAGTTTGGATATTTCTTCAGGAAGCCGTGGTTTTGGGGAAATTCTACCCGAGACTTAGACATGCAATCTAGGATAATTAGGAGAATGATTATTCTTATTATCCAAAGAAGTGTCTGTTTAAAACTTAAACACTAACCTACCTCGGTCACCCATTCTTTCTAAATACCTCTTTGTATTCCTTTCTGTATAAAGCTTTTGAAATCAACAAAATATCTATATCTTTCTCTTGTCTAATTATAATGATATATGTTGTTGATGATTGTCAAAAATGAACAAGTTCATATAAAAAAATGATTCAATAGGTTGAAAACTCGTACAAGGTGGCCTAGGAAAAAGTTAGAGTTTTCTAAAAAGAGAGCCCCAAGATGGTTAACACATTAATTGGCCAATATGGCTAATGATGCACATCAATTAACTGGAGCATTTCACGCTTGAAAAGGAGAAAAGGAAAGCCACTCCTCGAAAACCAAAACATTCATTACATGCATCCAAAAGCATTTCACACACACTTAGGAGATTTTCTTTATCCTAGGGGAATTTTTAAAATATGCATCCTGCATAGATGAAACAAGCACTCAGCATTTCTAGATGTTAACATAAAAAAAATAAAAATAAAAAGCAATGAAATCATTTTTTAGCAACAGACTTGGTAATCTATTAACATAGAGGACATTTGAATATCCTTTTCAGTAACAAACTTGGTAATCTATTATCCTGAATGGTAATTGATTAACAATGTTACTTTGAAAACTCTTCTTTGAATCAATTCATATTTGTATGTTTAAACACTTGGTAGTAAATTACCTTTTCATGATACTCTATTACTTTATGTTTACACATGGAAGTACTAAAAAAATCAAATGATTGGTTTCTTAAAAAAATTGATCAGTTCTTGAATTAAGCATTCATCATCATCATCAAACATAAACAAACACACACATGTCTATATCTATTACAATCAATACAATATCCTTTTGCATAGGCTTAAGTAACATCTATATAATACATCATCAAAAAATAAAAAAAAATAAAATATATATATATATATAATATGTAAGGCGTGTACTCTCAATAATAGTAGAATAATATGTATGTAAATATTGAAAATAATAATATAAGATATGAGTAGTTTATAATTGTGTATATATTTTTGCAAATATTTTAAGATCGTTATAAGTTAATTATATGTGTGAGTTTGAAAATTTCCTTTTATTACTTATTTGTGTTCTCAATCTAAAACAATATATATATATATATATAAGTTATATGCAAATATATAAACATATAAAATTAGGGTTAATTTT